GAACAAGTAAAATAGTATTTAATTTGTTGTTAGAATGATAAAAGCAAATAAACTGTGGCATTGCAGATTAAAACAACCATTATTCATACTCTACAGTGTTCAGGAAACCGACATTTACCAGACTTGACAAGTGTTACCTCCACAGAAAAAAAAATATATATATATATATAAATTAAGTTAAAGGTTAGAATCATAGAATGGGTTGAACTGGAAGGAACCATAAAAACAATTTTGTTCCAAGCCCCCTGCCATGGACAGGGAGATCTTTCACTAGACCAGGTTGCTCAGAGTGACATCCAACCTGGCCTTACACACTTCCAGGGATGGGGCACCCACAACTTCTCAGGGCAAGTTCCAGTGCATCACCACCTTCACAGTGAAGATTTTTTTCTTAATATCTAATCTAAACCTACTCTCAATTTGAAACCATTCCCGCTTGTCCTGGCACTACATGGCCTTGTAAAAAGTCCCCTGCCATCTTTCTAGTAGGCTGCCTTCAGGTACTTACCTAGCACACTGTCTGACCTACATTAGCTGCTCATATAATTAGATATAGCCATAAACAGAGAAATTATCTGAGCTTTAAATGAGCTCTCTGACCCTGCGTTAGTTCTGAACAAACTTATCACACTATTATTTATTTCAACTAAATAGAACTCTTAGTACTGAAAGCATTGCAGTCAACGTGAGCTAAATCTTTTCCATATTTGCCAAATCTCTTAAACATGGCAATAATAAATACCCAAGAACACACAACTTGCCTCTTCCACACATTGCTAGGCAGCAGTGCTTGTGGGATTATCATAAAACTATCATTTGTGGGTTGTACAGCATGCAACTCTGGCAATGCAGCACATTCAGTGTTTTAAGAGAACTCAAGTGAAGGTTAAACAAATCTGTAAAAACTGATTATGTCAACAACAGCAGCAAACTATTTGGATTTTCATGGCTAATATATTGCCTAATCTTCCTACAAAGATCATTGCTCTTGCACATAAAACTTCAGCACATGGTTCTTCCTTCAACAGTTGCTTTGCCTCTTCATTTTCTCTGATTCAATAAGCTGATCTTAACAAGTTTGTTCAGAGTGGTCCCAGCACAGCATTAAGTGGAACACATCAGCATGGTGCAGGGAAAAGACAAACCAACCATAAAACCCACAGGGTGCTAAGAAGGCTTGAGCTTCTGTACTCGGTGTGTGTCGTGTGCTCCAGGTGCGTGTGCCCAGAGCTGTGTTTCCCCAGAGCCGTGCAATCACAGCCCAGAGCAGGGCAGGGAGCCCTGCACACAGACACGTGGAACACTCAGAGCACACAGAGGATTGCACCTGGTGAGCTCATCCAGAGCACTGCATGGAAAGACTCTGACTTGTCACACTGCCTCTCAGCTGCAAGTCTGCCTCCTCTCCTAGGGAGACAGGCTGACAGTTGGGGTTGTTCAGCTGAAAAAGACTCTGGGGAGATCTTAGAGCAGCCTCAAAGCACCTAAAGGAGACTTAAAAAGACCTGTAGTGTACAGGGCAAGGGGAAGCAGTTTTAAACTGGAAGAGGTTTGGTTTAGATTGGACAGAAGGAGGACATTTTTTACTGCGAGGGTAGTGAGACACTGGAGTAGGTTGCACATAAAAGCTGTGGCTGTCCCATCCTCAAGGATGTTCAAGGCCAGGCTGGATGGTGGCATTGAGCAACCTGCTCGAGTGGCTGGCAGATGTCCCTGCCCATGGCCAGAGGGTTAGAACTAGATGATTCCTGAAGATCCCTTCCAACCCAAACCATTCCACAGTTATGGTTGTAGAACCCACTTTCAGGAAGCTAAAGTACCTCTCTATAGGAAAAACTCAGCTGCAGCAAAACAAAACTATCCTTTTACTGAACTAGAGTGCTCCAGCCTAGGATGTAAAAAAAAATCATAAATGTTTTACCTCAGTTTGACCACATCTTCTACTTCAAAGCATGGTGTATGCTTCCTACACTTTCCTGTTTGAAAACATGTTCAGTATAACATGCTGCCAAGCCTGGAGAAGATAAATGAGGTTGTATTTTCCTTCTATAGGTATTAGCGCATCAGTGTATTAACACTGATATAAGTGAAGTCAACATAGTGACACGAGTTGACCCCAATTATTCCCTCAGAGCTATTGACCAAATGACCAGACTCTGTTCACACCCTATATGACTGTGCTTGTCCATGGCTGCCAGAAATAGAAAATTAGCAAGCAGCAAGCATGGCCTTGGCACAGGAGGTGTGAGATTGTTGCCAGAGGAGAGGCTGAGGGGTCACTGCCAAGATGCCAAGAGCACCCAAGTGCAGGCAGCAGCTGTCCCTGTAACCACATGGGGACCAGACATGGCCACCTGCTGAGGGGGAGTGGGGACATGGCCCTGCACTTGTTCTGTACACAACAGCTAAACCCTACTGAACAAGGGAAAGAAGCAACATCACAGCACCCCATGACTCACTAACAGAGGAGCAGAAACAGGCAGGAGTGCTTCCCACCAGGATGTGGGCAAGGACGTACCTAAGAGTCTGGGAAGCTTTGCCAGCCCTATGGGCACTGGCAGAGGAGGTTCTTTTGTGGCCCCCGCAAGACTTGTAGCCTTGTTGGGGTTGTCAAGGGCCCATAGCAACCTCCATTTCGCACCATGAGTGCCTGTGAGGGGCAGAAAACAGGATGGATCCTTCCCAACCACTCTGGAACAGATCCTCCCCATGGTCAGACTGGCTCAGCCCTCACCTCAGGCACAGGCTGGCCTGTAGCTCACATTCACCCAGCATGGCCAAAAATAGCACCTCTTTTATTTCACTATATGATGACTTCACAGGGAGATGGGCAGGGGAATAAGTACTTGTCAAATGAGTTCCCCCTCCCTGGCACAGCAGGCAGAGTCCTTAGACCATGCTTTCAACTACCTTCAGCAGTCCTGGCAGGGAGGATTTCCCTTGGCTTCCCTTGACACAACAGGCCCAGCCCCAGACAACTGAGCTCTCTTCAACAGCTCCCATGTATTACACAACTACTTCCCAGGTTGTGTCCTGTAATCCCATGACCTCACAAAGGCTGGTACAGTGTCATCCCATCATTACCCAGAAATTTCTCAAGGAACAATAGCCAGCAACACTGAAAAAACAAGAACATCACACCAGACAAGTGTAGCCTTAAGGGCAAGAGTGCAGCACACAAGACTGGTTCCTGTGTCATCTCATTCGGTGAAAACACTCAAGTTGGAGCTTTTAGAAAGACTAAGAATTACTTAACATCTCATATGAATCAAGTGCTGGTGCAACTCAATTACAAATATTTATACCTTAAGAAGTGTTGGATGTTAAATTTACAACTATTTTTTCTATTCTGTGCCTTCTAGATGTACATCTCCCAAAATGCTTCACCTTGCAATCAGCATGTGTTGCAGGTTCAGCTGCCAACAGAAGCAGGAAAGCCAGTGCTGGACTTCTCACAGGTGTGTCTGCAGAACCCTTTGGTCACAAACAAAACTGAGAGTGCAGCCTGTTTGTCTCTTCCCAGTCCTGAGGGAAGACTACATACTGCCCCTGGAATTTTGTTAATGGCTAGAAGGTTTCTAATTATACACATTTTAAAATACCACAGCTCAGGTGCTGTTTAGTCTCTGACACTGGTAGGTGTCTGCAAGCCACTGGCAAACCCAAAAGATTACAACCCTTAGTAGGGCCTGTAGCAATAGGAAAAGGGGTAATGATTTTAAACCACAAAAGGGCAGGTGCAGACTAGATACAAGGAAGACATTTTGACAATGAGGTTGGTAAAACACTGCAACAGGTGTTGCACCACCCAAAGAGGTAGTAGATGCCCCATCTGTGGAAATATTCACGTTTTCATTGGACAGAGCAACCTGATGAAATTGAAGACCTACCTGCTCAATGCATGGGGAAATGGACTAGATGACATTTAAAGGTCCCTTTGAACCCAAACCTATGACTATATTATATAATGCTGAGTGGTTTCTCCCTCAAGCCATTCTTCCCCACTACATGTGTACTATGAATTAACTTGAAAGCAGAAAAGCAGAAAATAAAGCTACTGCTCTGCAGCAATTCGCTCAATAGGATGTACTTCCAAAAAAAGGTGCTTTAAATACATGTAGTAAAAATTTAATTTAATATTTATTCAGGAATTTTCTCCCTATGTATGGAACAACTGTGATTTGGGTGAGACAGAGACAGGCAGTGACAAAGCATAAGAACCACCAACCCTTAGTTTTAGAAAATTGTACCAGAGGCACCCAAAGGAAGATGAAGTCCCCACACAGGACTTCTGCAAAACTGAAAATATGCAAGCTGCATCTTTGGGCTTGAGTGGCTGGCTGGTTTTGGGGGGATTGGGGGGGGGGGGTCTCAGGGTGTGTTTAAAAACCAGAAGTTCTTCACTCTGCTTCAGTTCAGTGTAAGCTCCTGGGTTACTATGTACATTCTTTGTAGCTGAGAGGGTTGGGAAACTCCAGGAGCTGTATTAAGTGTTAGCCACACCTTTTTACTGCAGTCAGGAGAGTAACCTGTACCTCATTATTGCTCCTTCATGGGCCTTTTACTCTGCAAAAAGCAGTTTCTTCCCTTCCTCCTGCATTAGCCTGTTTCACATCAGAAAACATCAGTCTTCACTTCCCTCCAGATAGAGGTAATTACTACTCCAGGTAGTAATGTCATGCATAGCTGATAAAAATCAAAGCTGCAGTTCTGCCTGAGAACAACTAAGGAGTGGGAAAGGAGACAGACACAGATGCTGAACACAATGAGACCCCTAAAGGGCACCAAAAAGAGGTTTTAACAAAAATACAGACAAAATAAGATTGATTTCTTCCCCAAAACCCACCTATATTAAAAAGAATTACAAGGGGAAAATGGAAAGAAAGAAAAAAACTTCCTCCTGCAACTTGCAATTAGAACAGCAAGAGCTGGGATACTGCTTGTTAACACATGAAAGCTCACTATGGAAGAAGAATTCTCATTAATAAAGTCTCCAAATGAACAGTACATATCCACAGTAATTTTAATAGTTCAGCTTCTGAATCATATGCTATCAAGTCTGACATAAAAAGATTGCAATTGACTTATTAGCTACAAATATAAATATACCTGGATTTTCTTTTTTTTCCTTAAGAATAAAAAAGTACTGTGTCTTCAGTCTTCCAAAGTTATAATTGTAAGGGAAAAGAAGATCATCATATGAAAGTTTTCAAGAGTACACAAACAGATCATTTACATGCAACAAGAAATGGCAAGTCACTAAAAATCAGAATCTTTCAAATCTGTCCAAATGATTGTCACTACCCATTCTAATAACACACCACTTGTCTTCAGAGCCCATGGAAACTGGCAAGTCTTACTCCATAATTTCACCTGCATTCCCATTTTTTTTATACACAGAGCTTCCCAGAAGCCTTTAATGGTCAGAATATTTATTGTTTCTTTTCTTTTTCTTTTTTTTAACACACCGTTTTATTCTACTTATTCTTTGACTTTTCCTTTCTGGTCAACTGCAAGCAGTTCATATTCCTCATTCTGCTGGAGTGAAAAATCCCTCCCCTTTTCCACGTCACATAGATGGTTCAGGCACAACAACCTGATTTTGTCCTTTTGGCTGGCTTGTAGTCCGTGATGTCTACGGTTTGCGGTGGCCCCTCAGCTTTCTGCCGTACGATTATTGGGACTACCATGTCAAACACAGTTTCAAACAGGTAGTCCACCTTGTATCCTGTCTTTGCACTGGTCTCAAAACACATTTTCTCAGCTGCTGGAACATCCTTCTCATCTAGCATTTTGTATTTCAGTATCTTTTTATAGAGCGCGATCGCGTCTTCTGCATGGACTTGTTTTCGCACCTTGGAGCCACAGCTGGCACCAGACTTCCTGGGTCTGTTTTCATCCGGTGCTGAAGTACAGTCATCGCTGAGGTCAACTTTATTTCCAACAATAGCAAAAATGCAGTCAGCACTTGCACTGTCTGTCAGAGCCAAGAATCTTTCTTCCAGCTCCGTCAGGCTCTGGAGGCTGTTCACGTCGTACGTGAGGATCACAGCAGCTGCTCCTCTGCAGTACATGGACCCGAGGCCGTGGAACTGCTCCCGTCCTGGCAAAGGTTTAAACACAGCAAATGTTAGCGTGCTGGAAAACACATCATTGACCAACTAAGAGAGTTTAAGGAATTTTAAACCAATTTCACAAGTCTGGACGAAGCAGTGAAGATAAAAATGGGTTATTTGTAGCACTTTGAGGTTTTTCCTTCTGTTTTTCCATAAGAGAGCAACAGTGCTACAGAACAGCTCTGCTCACTGCTTGCTCAGTCTCAGAGAAGGGAATCTCTTGTAGAGAACAGTGAACAAGGAAGCTCATGCAGCATTCTTACTTGCAGAGAGCAAAAAAAAAGCCTGGCTTCTTTTTTATTAAATTGCATGCTAGCTGATTTATGTCACATTAACTACTACCCTGCTTGCACCCACAGGTGGCCCATCCATCTACCTCACCATCTACCAACAAAAAAGTTCTACTGTTTCAAGTTCTGCTAGAATTTATTACTCCTATAAATCCAGCATGCATTTTCAAGTATATCTAGTCCAGAAATCTGTATCAAAATCAGTAATCCACTTCTTCCTAAGTTTTGAAGGATTTTGTAAGCCATATAGTCTGATGCTACATGCCCACAGTTCTCAGGTACCTTGGCTTTACAGGAAAAGTGTCTTGTGCTATCCAGCCTGTAGTGATAGGCATCTGTCCCTCCACCAGTTTTCACACAGTTTTTAGAGTATTAAACATACAATATACAGAAAATCCTAATACATTCTAAGAGAAATTAATATTTTAAGTTGCCCTGGTCATTGCTCAATAATCAACAGTTAAAACATTTCTTTCTCCTCATTCAGGGACTATCTTCCAGCACTTCCAAGTAAACTTTGATGGTGTCCTTCATTTCTTGTAAGACAAAAGTGACTCTTTGTTAAATCCTGGGAAGCAAATAATGTTCTTCAGTAGTTGCAACAGGACTAAGGGAAATTAGGCAGAAGACAAACTGTGCTTTCCTTCCTATTGAGAACTGATCCCTTCCCCAAATACTTCCTACCTGAAGAATATGCTGTATGTTTTACTATCCAAGACAATATCAAGAAAAAGATAAAACACACTAGATTTCAACCAACCATCAGAGTTGGCCTCAGATCACTACATAAATGTGAATGAACAGAGAAAAAAAGAGCCAACTAACTACATGCTTATGAACATTTGAAAATCAACATCAGTTTCCAACTCTTTTCATACAATCCCTTTGCATAGAGCCTTCATTTATAGAAAATCTGGAAGAGATCTGGTTACATTCATCTTCTGCACAAAGCTACTGACCACCAGGAGCTATTTCATCACCATCAATGATTCATCATGAAATCCTGGTAAATGATGGTGGAACAGGAAAGGCAGAAGAAAGTAATGCTGAAAAATGGAGGTCAGCGCACATTGGGAAAACACATCTGCATGTGAACATGCACTCTGTGAAAGGAACTCAGAATCCAGCTCCAGTGGGGAACAGAACTGCAGTAAGTCCTTCAACAAACCCCAGAACTCCACGGCTGCCAGAAGAGAGATAGTGCTCATCATTATCAGTAAAACAGATCTGGGAAACCTCAAGCTAGAACATGAAATCCAAATCTCATTGCACTTTTCACACTGAGTGAAACTGGCAGCTGCCAGAGAGAGAGGTTTGGAAAGGTGCAGAGCTCACTATACAGAGGGTAAAAGGAAGCTGGTGAGAATGCTCAGAAGTATGTGAAACATTTGCATGAGGAAAAATTGTGGGATCTTTCAGGCTGGTGAATGATTGGAAAAAAGGGTAGAAACAGATGTCTATAAATTCAGGCGTAATGCTGAAAAAAATAAATAGTTGTTCCTCAGTTATTTTCTTGTCACACAGAAAATGAGGATTTCACATCAAAAACATGCGCGTAATTTAAATACTTTCCCGCAAAGTGAAAAATTGGTAGTAGCAGTTATATAACACTGCAGAGGTCAAAAGTTCAGTGAACAGCATTCAGAAAATCATTAGGGAAAGTTTATGGAAAATTGCTTCAGTGCAATTTTGTATAACCTCTGATTTGCTTTCCCTCAGCAAAAGAAATTCTTTAACCCATGATCATGGAGGTAGGAAAAAAGGAGGTTTAAAAAAATTAGCTACACCCTTGTTTAGTTATGTTAAGTAATGGCAAGGGAGATTAGAATGCAGGGGATGGAGGAGGTCAACCTTTTTATGCTTTTTTCTCCAATCTCATGTTAAAGTTGTACATCCAGCTGCACTGCAACTGAGTCTTTAAATGTCCCCAAGTTTTCAACAGAAGTTTGCACCACGACCGATTTTGTTCTCACCCGAACCCTGATTATACTGCGGTCTGGAAACCACAATGGAACATGTATCTCCCCCTGCCCTCCCACTTCAGATGCCTAAGCCATAAAATGCAGCCCCCAGAATAATTTGCTACAGCACCAAGCAGTAGAACAGTACTATTACTTGTTTTATGGCATTTGTATGCTAATCTAATCTTGCACAGCATAATATAAACCATGACACTTTTACATGGCAACTACCAACTGACTACTTCTATAACTAATACATTGTTGAAAGGGGGAAAGAAACAGTAGAGAATTTACCTTGCATAAGAAACTAATTATATCAAAGGAATTGTGGATAGTCTCCTCTGGTCACCTTCACAGCACAATCAACATGCAGGAAAAACTGCACAATGTATTTTTGTAACAGTTTCCTTGTACAGACCACTTCTGACACTTATGGGCTGGAACAACACTACATACGGAAAAAACCCCAAAACTACACAAAGTATTTAAACTAACTTACGTACTCAAGGTGTCAAGCAAAATAGTATCGGACATCAGGATGAAAAAGTTACTGCATGAGAACAGCCATCCCTGTCTTATAGACAGTTATTTTTTCCTCTGGACCCATCTGGTCCCACTCCAACCACATATTTTTTTATACAATTAGTAAGTGGTAAGCCTTGAAACCAACAATTAAACAATTTTGTCTTTTCAAAAAAATAAAGTTAAGAGAGAAGAGTGAAAGAACTATTAAATAATTTGCAGTCAAAGGAATTGCAAGAACCACTGAATCAACAACAAAGGCACAACATCAGGGAAAATTCTGAAAACTAAGCAACCAAAAACTAATTTTCATTTCCTTTTCATCTTTATATTTTGTCGTGTTTAGAGCAGTTCAATAACCCTACATCTGTATCCCTATCTGCAGCACCATCAGCTTTCCAGAAGGTCTTTGATGAAGTATATAAAGACCTGTTGGAGACTTCAGCCACTCAGAGGCAGCACAACCAACGAGGATTTTCCAAGTCCTGAAATGATTGTCATAAACAAATGCAAGAGTTTTGAGCCAAATGGACCTCAATACCATGAAGTTCGTAATGAACCTAACAGAGAAAGAAGGAAAAAGCAGACCTTGCAAGAGGCTGGCTTGACAAATAACCAAGGCTAGATTTAAAGTGTACTAAGACTTGAACTTAAGGCCTCCTACTGCACTTGGACCTCTCAGCTGGAAGGCAGCAGCCCCTGTGAATGCTTTCTCTGGATGGGACCACAGCCCATCCAAGCATCCCGATCCCCTCCAGCTGTGGCATTCACTGACAACAGCAGCACCTCAATGCTGCGCTTGGAGCTCTCTGCCTGCCCACAGCCCCTGAGGGTGGTATCCCAAGTAGCCCATGAAGTTGCTGTGGATGTTTATGAGAGCAGAAGCCAGATTTGAAAGCTCCTTACCCACCACCTCTTTAAAGGCTTTCACCACAACTCCTGAAGTGGCACAATTTCTACTAGAAGAAGTTTTAAATCTCTCAGTGTATAAGAATGCAAAAAAGGCTGATACTTTCAGTCTGGAGGGAATAAAGCACAATGACTATTAAAGAGCAAAAAAGGTCTTCAATAAAGTACTGGAAAAGTACTGTTTCTACTCTGATATCATAGTCTAAGTGGCAGCACAACTCAGTTCCTAAGGTAAATATGTAGTGGGGAAAGGCACACAAAGGTGGGCTACAGAGGCATGTCACCATTGCGTTAAAATTGCACAAGATTGCAGAATTGCCCAGGAAGTGCTCAGTCCATAAACCAGGGACCTTCCAGGGATTTTTACTGTGATTTGTGCAGTACTGTGATCGGAACAGTAGAGAGGAATTAACAGAAACACAAGGTATCAGCTAGCTTTTGTCTTTCAGATTCTCTTTCTGCTTTGTAGGAGTCTGAACTTGAGTGTACACAGAGAGGGACAGGAACTGTACCCTGGGGAGACAGCTCAAAGAGGAAAGAAAAGAGAAAGCATGACACCCATGACACAGCACAGAAATCAATATTAGAAAGAAGTGAGCTTTGAGGGTTCAGCTGCAGTAGATGAAGGTTCAAAGGGTGACCCTTATGCTCTTGAGTTACCTCAGCAGGAACATCCTCTCAATCACAAGGGTAGACAAAGATCCCTTTTGAAAGGGGAACAACATTTCTTTCTGTTCACAGACAAGGCAGTAAAGTTGTGACCCTTTAAAGGACATCAGGAGAAACAATTTTGCTAGGAACTGAGATTTCTATTTGAGCACATATACCAAGCATTGTAATGACTATCAAAGAACAAACAGTAAAGGTCCCTAAGGGTTTCAGGAAAATTCTCCTGCCCACATAAGAGTCAGGTTTTGAGAGTGATGAAGTCAGGGTTCTTCATTACCTTGTTCAAGGTTGGTATTTATTTCTTGTAGGTGGCTTTATCATATTTCCCTTGAAGTCAGGAGCTCTGTTAAGAACTGGACTACATCTGTGGTTACTTGGGGATAAAAATAAAGCTCTCCATCCCAAAGGATTAACAAGGATTACATAAATAGAAATTTGTGGAAACATGAGTCACAAAGGACTGGAGAGTCCAATTTCTACATGTCCAGGAGCTGTCAGAATACATGATTTCCTGATCTGCCAGAAAAATGCCAACATTTGGTTTTTCTTCAAGACAAAATTCCCCATGGAATGACAGTCTCTGAGACAGAGAGGAAACTAAATAATTAAACCAACAAATCCAAATAAACAAAAAAC